CGGGTCGAGGGAGACGGCGGCGAGGCGGGGTCGGGGGAGACGGCGGCGAGGCGGGGTCGGGGGAGACGGCGGCGAGGCGGGGTCGGGGAGACGGCGGCGAGGCGGGGTCGGGGGAGACGACGGCGAGGCGGGGTCGGGGGAGACGGCAGCGAGGCGGAGGCGACGAGGAATAGTAGAGGAGAATTGGGGGAGGAAGCAGAGGAGGGAATCAGGCCGCGCGGGGGGTTAGGTGAAAATAGCTTTAACTGTAGCGTGGGGAGGAAAAATGCGCTGCTGCTAAAATCCGTAGTAGTAGCACTGTTCGTAGAAGGGCGCTACTACTATACCTAGCACGACGGGAACGGTGTGGCAATTATAGTAGTAGCGCTTTCTGTTCCTGCCGCGCTACTGCTAAGTGAGTAACAGTAGCGCGGTTCTGGTAGACGCGCTACTGCTAAGTAGCAGTAGCGCCTCATTTTAACAAGCGCTACTGGTAACATTCTGTGTATAAGGTTTTCCTAGTAGTGGGATCCATCCAGACCGCGACACCATTTTCTTGGCTCCATGTGGAGGTGATACTTTGCTAGCTTATCATATGCAACTTCAGAAAGTTGAATGCATCCTTGATCTTGAGGAAAACAGTACACAACGATTTCTACCCTATGTTCCTCTGTTCTCAGAGTCATTAGCAGATGCAAATGGGCGGTAGCTTTACCTTCAATGCTTCCTCCAAGAATTGGCTTTTCTATCGGCTGAACTATTTGTGCGTAGATCTGAATCTACTCAAATCATGCTGCTTAATTTGCTTGTGCTTACACTTCTCTTGCTTGGTTTTCAGTTCAGAGCAATGGCTAACTAAGCATAATGTCAATTCCAAAGAACACCGTTACCCGTGTTCTTGTTTGCCTAGCACTCGCTATTGTTCTTGACATGCATGTATTAGTCCCATGGGGCTAAATTATACTGTAGCTAGCCTTCTTGTCCATAACAATCAGTTATTATGATTATCCTAAATCCTAGTGCAGATTGTGAACCCGATAGTTTACTAACAGGTTCAATCAGAGTAGTTACTAAAAGATTCTTTTCTACTTATATTTACTACTGTAGCAAATGAATTCAGAAGAGCTTTGTATATGTTAACCAGAGGTATTGCATTAATGCCAAAAACATGAAATAAGGATGCAAGATTTGATGGAAAATTTTTTGTGCTTGGTGTGCGTGCATTTGGTCTGTTTGTGCTACTCCAGGTAATAAGACAAAGGTGTGTATCATATAAGCTTGTGCTTCACGTATGAAAATAGGATTTTGGCAGATGCCAGGACTGGGCATTTACTGTTATAGAACTTTGACAGTAGATAGCAAATGTCTTCTCCAAAGCACTATATGTGTTCTCTTGTTTCTAAATTGAACTCAAAAGTTGTTCCACCCTGCCTTTTGTCTAACATATGTAGTGTGAA